GCTACATTAGGTGGCTCATAAACAGCCTGTAACTCCAGCTCCAGGGAATCCGATGCCCTTTTTACCCATGCACATGCTCACATACACACCAATACCCACACTCCCCCAGATAATTTAAAATGATAAAATAAGTCATTAAAATGTAACCTTATTTTATTGAATTGTAAATGAATTTATGTAATACATAACACAATAGTGAAAATGTATAGAAAAATATAACATTTATATTCATAAACACATAATATGAAAATGTTAGCTTTTTATTTTATAAGTGATTAGAATCAGCCACAGAAATATATGTTACTCATTTAACTCTCAAGAAACAAGCAACATGTTTTTCTCATCTCCAGTTATTTTGGGAAAGAGATATTGTTTGATGTAGTACAGTTAGCCTCATATAGAAATGATGTGACTAAATAAAAATTATTTAAAAACAATGTGTTTTGAGAAATTCCCATTGCTCCTTTAGGGGACATACATATTTTTTTTAGAGTGGTTAATCCTTTTAAAATTGTATAAGAGAAATCTTACACAAACATCTTTAAGCTGATAAAAATAGCAAGCTGCAAGGTAGCACTCCTGTTGGAGAACATGACTAGAGAGACAAATGAGAATACTCTTAATCACCTACCTCTATTTCTACAAGACATGTAAAAAAAATTCCAATGAAGCATTTTTCTAATCCTCTATTCTATTGGGGGGAGGCGGTAATCTCGACAAAAGAAAATGTAATATTGTCAGTATCAAGAGAGTGAATACTATAAACACCACCAACTACTTTTATACGTGATGACTTTAGCCTCGCCAATACCAAAAAAATGTCAAAATGTGAGTGATCTGTGGCTTGCAAAACATCGTCCCTAGACAGTGATGTGGACATAATCTGGGAACTTGTTAGAAATGTAATTTCTTGGGCTCTATTCCAAACTAATGTAAGCACAAATTCTGAGATCAGACCCCAGAAATCTGTTTCTATTTCTTCATGCTGAGCTTGGTGACTCCTAGTTTGGTAGCCACTGATTTACACGGACCAAACTACTTAAAAGACAATCTATGATCCAACAGCATTATAACACCAGGAATGTATAATAACTGTGCACTCTCATGCCTCATCTTAAGTGTTCTCAACATTATAACAAAGTTTCTAGGTGACTTATATGCATATTCAAATGTAAGAGCTGCCATGTTCATACACCAATTCTGTCATGGGTTAAATAGTGTCTCTCCCCACATTATTATGTTCAAGTTCAAACATCCAGGACCTGAGAATATGACTATATTTGGAAACAGATCCTTTAAGATGTGATCATGTGAAATGAGGGCATTAGGATAATTTCGGGATGGGGGCGGGGGAAGAGTTTCTCTGTGTATCCTTGGCTGGCCTGGATTCACTCTATAGACCAGGCTGGCCTTGAACTCACAGAGATCTGCCTGCCTTTGTCTCCATGAATGCTGGGATTAAAGGGTTGTGCCACTACACTAGGTTTAGGATAAATTTTTTTTTACTGTGATTTCTCTCCTAAGAAAGTCGATTCCACACCACAGATATGTGCAGAAGAATGTCTATGCTTTATACTCACCCAGCAAGAAGGCAGCTGCATACAACTCAAAGATATTAGCCTCACAAGTAGAAAACCCTGCTGATACTTTGATCTTGGACTTTTAATTTCCAGGATGAAGGAAAAATAAATTTATTTTCTTTGTCTCCTTTCCTTTGTTGTATTTAGTGTGGCACTTGCAGAAAATTAAGTCTCCAAACTCAAGTATGTACTGGCAATTACAGGAGTTTTAAAAACACTAATAATACTTGGTTTCCATTCCCAAAGATTACAACATAAGTGACCTAAGGATTAACCTGTAAATCTGGTCTCTGATGATTGCTACTGTGCAGCAAATTTAAAAGCTATTGATATATACACCAGGCTCAACAAGTGAACCATCCAAGACTCAGAGCTCTAAAATCTAAAATCCAAAATTCCAATTTTGAGATCCTTTCTTATCCAGTCTCCCACTGTAATGTTTCCAAAGTTGGACCTTCTATGCATTGAAGACTTCTATTTGGAGAAAGTCAAGAACAAGGGCTGGCAATTTTATAATGATAGTGTTCCTCTATTTGGCCATTTTTTTTTCTGTCATGCAGTCCCCAGTTCCCTGGTGCTCTTCAGTAGGTCATCTTACACAGTACAGATACAGAGAAGCCCCTGCCTCAAGAAAATCTGTTGACCTAAGTTGTCAGTACCCACTTTTGCTAGGTTTTCATTGTTCCTCCTGTTAAATTGCCTTCAAGGTCCCTAGGATACAAATGAAAATCTTGGATTCTATAAAACCTCACACCAGGGCTCTGGTGCCACAGTAGGAAACAGCATTTTGGTGCTAAATCTTTTCCACTTTTTCCATATCCCTGTAGCTCTCAAACCCAATACTCTACCTAAAGGACTATTTAAGTGAAAGTTTTCCGTGCTTCAGGAACTAAGGGGTCTGATTTATATTTAATATTAATGGAAGCCATGTAAGATTTGTATTTGAATGTGAAAGTTATAGTTTCTGAATGTTAACATAGTGCTCCATTTTTGGCTCCCCCCCCCGTGTGTATTTCATTTAGCTCAGAATCCTTGATGTTAAAAGACCCAACTTTGGTGGTGGTCTTGCTGGCAAAGTCCTTGAATGGCACGGGCCTTCACAAGTAATTGACAAAGAATGAATGCACATAAGCATTCCCTGGTCTCCTTCTCCCTTTTCTTATAAAGCCACCAACACTCAATGATACAAGCTCTACCCCAGTGACCATATCCAATCCTCATCTCTTCCCAAAGGTCTTACTTATAAAATCACAGTCAGATTGTCAACGCTTTTAAAATCTTAAGATGTGAATTAGTGTTCAACACATGAAGGTTTCATTGACATAACTAAAATAGGATAGAGTTTGGGGCAGGAGGAATTCTTTTTAAATGTGATTTTGCTACCTTGAGTAATACTTTATTTTACTTGGACCAACCAATGACACAATCACGACTTCAAGCAAAACTTTTCACAACATTCTAGCAGACCTTCTGGTTAGCACTCCAAAGCCATCAACAGCACCCCTATCAATAATAGAAGCTAAATGTCTCTGTGTTTCCCCCAACCATTACTGTCACTAGTTTATATGCCCCAAATCCTGACAATGAGATAAAGGGGGTATTTGTTAGAAAACTTCAGGGGAATTTTATTTCTCTGAAAAGAGAAAGTTACACAAAGGAAAACACTTCACCCCTTTCTACCCTTAGTTTCCTGTCCTTGAATACAGTATAAAGACATCATTTCTGGAGCTGTTGAAGCCATTCTGAAATCATAACGGTTAGGCATTGACATTATTTTACCCTTGTATTCACCTTCTGTCAGACTCCTCTGTTGCTGAAACCACTTTTAAAATAAATATGTGTATTGTGTGATATAAACACATTTGTATATATTCATATTATTATTAATTTATAGAACAGTATAATCTGATAATCCACACCTTGAATACCATTTAATTATACAGATTATATTATTCTAGTCTAGGAGTGAAGAAAAAGCTTGCCAATATAGTATTTGCGAAATCTGAACTGCAAAGTGACTTAATCATTCACTCATATTTCCAACATTCCTCTTCTCTACTAAATCCTAGTGATAAAAATGTGAATAAGACTCATGATAGAGTTATGAAGAGCTAGGTTATCAGAGAAGTGAGATAACTTATTTGAAGGGCTTCCTGGGGAGGGCCGCCTTGAAAGAGGATCATCAAAGACTCCCTGACTAGCCATTTAAAGTGTCACTAATTTTTTCCAAGTAGGGCTAAGACAGGTTTGCTTATATGGTCACAGATTGTAATCCATAGGAAAATACAGAAAACAGCAATCTACGATCAGGGACTAATATATTACCAGAAAATATTCTTACATCCATGTATTTCTCCCAAAACATAAAAGACAATATGGGGGGGGGGTTAGAGTATTTTGGTACCATGTCATCAGATAACTTTTCTAGAACAGAATAATTTTGTGATGTGAATTAAGACCACCTGTTAATACATCAAAACAATCGTTTGTCAACGTGAGCCACAGCTTCATGCATTTCAGCATACTCTCTCTGTTATTTCCATTAAAGAACGACAGCAATAATTAGTGCCTGTTTAACGGTCACAGAAACATTGTGCTGCTTCATGGGAGTGAAAGGAGAAATATCCCCTCCCAAATTGATTTTTCTAAAAGCAATGAGTTTGACACTCCCTCTCCTGACAGACCGAGAGAGGACAAACTAACATATAGCTTTGTATTGGTGAACCTTCTAAGAAACAGAATATGTTCTCTCATTGATTTTCCTGCAAGGGAAATAATAGGCTTTGAAGCATCTCTGTAAACAGAAAAGACAAAAGCAGCAATAGCCTACAATTTCTTTCCTAGAATATTCCATGGAATCTTTTAATGAATTGTCTCAACATTTTTTGTTGCTTAGCACAGACTGTCCCTCCAAAATATTTGGATTCTGTCCGTGGTCTCTTTACAGGTATGCAATAACTGCAGTTCTCCTCCAGCTCTGTCGTGTTCTGGGCTAGAAGGGTTCTTCCAAGATCCCAGCTCAGGCTACAGTGGAACACCCTGCCACCTTGCTGAATGAAGGAAGAGCCCAGCAAAGGATCCCAGCTCAGCTCTTGAGCTCCCCTGTTTCCACCTCTAAAAATCACCCAGGAACAAAAGGGGGGTTGAGTAAGCAAAGATGAAACAAACCAAACATACCTTGTCCCATAAACGCTGCATCAAGACATTGGAAGGTACCCGGGAAATTAAGAATATGGTTCCAGAGTTTGCTTTGGCTGGAAGTCTAAGTACGGATTTTATATTCTCTGACGCGTTTTAAAAATCTAACTTTCTGTCTACAACAAAAAGAGCCAGAGGAAGGAAGCAAAAGCAGACAGAGACACAGACTGGACGACCGCCGCAGCCAGCACCCTAACAGAGTATCAAATGGCGAGAACTTACCTGGTCCTCACCTATAAGGAAAGGCGACTGGTCCAGCCTCAGGCAGCAGTCGCGCCACCCAGGAGAGTAAGTAAGCAAGGGAGTCGCGGAACGGGGAGCCGCCGACGCGCAGACCCAGGGAAGGGAGAGAAGTCCTGCTCCTAACCCAAGGGAGAAGAGTGACTCACGCGCTCGATTGGTGCCCGCCTTTCTTCCTCCCCGCCCCCAGCAGGTAGAGGGACCGCGCGGGAGGCGGTCTCCAGCAGCCCCTACCCACAGGCTCAGTGCCAGGCTCCGCCAGGTGGCGGCGCCACAGTCCAGCTAGGCACAGCCCGCCCAACCACACAACCACTCGCCCACCCGCTGGGCTCATCGCGGGGCTCCCTGACCTCTTAGACCCAGCCTCTCCAGGTCCCTGCTCCCCTTAGGCGCTCCATAAGAACCCTGCACACCTTCCACACTCCTCTGGACTCGGTACTGCTATGGCCAACCAACCTCTCACAGAAGTCTCCCACCCCACGGTTATTTTCTCTCTTGCGGTAGCACCAGAACCCACCCAGCTTACAGAAGGTGTGGCTGGCTTCCTCGGCTTGCTGGATCTACCAGGGACTCCTTCCTCACCCTGCTTCCCAGCTGGATATGGCCAAAGTCAGACCACTTCTACACTAAGTAGCTATTCCTGAGGTACCCTAGAACCGACCACAGGCCACACACACTACTTACCCCTGCATCCTTGAATGCTGAGACCTCCTTTTGATACTCTCCTCTTGCAGGTGCCCCAGGGTCCTGGAGGAAGGATGAACTCATGATGTAGCAAGGGACACCCTCTTCATTAAATCCTGAGTGACGGTAGCAGGGAAGGCTCTGCCCAAACTGGGTTTGTGCCTGGAGCTTCCTTGGTACAGTTGTGATGTCCTAGAGTGGAACAAGCTCAAAAATTCATACTGCCTTCATCGCACAAAGCTTTAGATTCCACCCTGGTGCTAGGTGTTTCCTTGCCAGTGGTCTGTTGTTCTGCTGGAGGTTGAGGTGTGACGAAATCATAATCCTTCCTGTATCATACCAAAGCTGAGAACAAACTGGAGGAGGCAGCACATTCCTGTAATCCAAGCACAAAGTAGATTGAGGGGGAAGAATGTTAATTCAAAAAAAAAAATTAGTGCTATCACCTTAACTTCTTTGATAGCGATGGCTGGCTATGTAGATTAGGTTGGTCTAAAACTCAGAACTGTGCCTGATTCTTTCTCTCAAGAGCTGGGATTAAATATATGCACCACCACATCTGGCCTACATTAACTTTTTATTTAAAAATATATGTATATACTGGGGAAAAGAGTATATAGAAATGAGTTACTTTAGGTTTGAAAGAGTGAGAGGTCAGAATTCATAAGAAATAAAACAAGAATGGAAAGACGGTAGAGCATTTTCCTAACTAGGACAGTGTGTCGGCTGCCACATTTTCTACAGCTCTCCCTGGTAAGCGGAGGAAGAGTTTGCCTATTCAGAATGGTGGGCTATCTTCCCCAAATATATAGTCCTCTCATCACCTCATTATTTTCTCATCATCATTAGAAACGATTATCTCTCTCATAACCGGGTACATTAAAGCTAGGGGTATTTATCATTTCAACTTCTCAAAAACTTTCAGATGGCCTGACCACCATTAAAAGCCAAAGTTTTCCTCTGAGAACAAAGTTATCCAGGTCTTTCCTACATTTGCTGCCTGCTTCTACCTATTTTTCATTTTTATAGTCTTTTCTTCCACATCTCTACCTACTTAGTGAATAAAGGCATCCCTCAATTTCTCTAGCTCTTCTTAATTCCATAAAGTAGTGAGTTTTTTTTCCACCTCTGCTTTCCTTTCTAATGCTTCCCTATCCTACATGCTCTCTTTCTGCCTTATTTTCCCTTTTTTTTTTTTTTTTTTTTTTTTTTTTTTTTTTTTTTGGCTCAATGACTATGCTATAGTTTGGATCTTAGGCGTCTTCCAAAGGCTCATATGTTGAAGAATTGGTCCTTACCCCTGATGCTATTAGACGGTTTGGCCTAGTGAGAGGCCAAAGTCATTAGGGACATACAATCAGATGAGAACAGTGGGACCCTGATACCTTCCTTTTTTTTTTTTTTAAATCACTTCACATCCATGAGCTGAACAATTTTGTTCTACAGTGCACTTCTACCTTACCATGAGGACAAAGCAATGGGGTCAATTGATCATGGAGCAGAACTTCCAAAAATCTGGGCCAAAATAAACTTTTTTACTTTGTAAGTTGATCACACAACAGGCATTTATTACAGTAATGGAAAATGGACTAGCATGAATGCTTTGCTGCTTTTGGGGGGTTTGTTTTTTTTTTTTTTTTTTGGTTTTAGCTTCAATGAAAACTCATACCTATTAAAACTATTAATTCTTCAACAAGTTGCTTATATGTATGCAAGACAATATGTTCTCTCATCCAAAGTGATCAGATAAATGTATTAATATTATCAGAATCGTTTATTCATTTATTTATTTATTTAACTTACATTTACTATGCAGTATCTGTGACCCAGGCATTGTGATTAGTCCTAAGTATATCAACATGAATAAGGCAGGGTCATGACCATTAAAAATGTCACTATGGGGGCTGAAGAGACGGCACAATGGATGGGAGTACGTTTTACTCTTGCAGATGACCTGGGTTAAGTTCCCAGCACCTACATGTTGGTGGTTCATGATCATTCTGTAACTCCAGTTCCAGGGTATATGATACCCTCTTTTGACTTCCATGGACACCAGGCACTTATGTGGTTCAAAGACATACATGCAGGCAAAATATTCACAACTTGAAAATAAAACTTCAAATAAAATAAAACTTAAATGTAATCTGTAAAAAAAAAAAAAAAAAAAAAAACACGACAGGGAGAGGGGCATAGGAGAAGAGGAAGGAAGGGTGGGATTGGGAGGGGAGGGGCTACAGCTGGGATAAAAAGTGAATAAACTGTAATTAAAAAAATTTTAAAGATGTCAAAAAATTGACATTGGAAAAAATTGTTTCACTGAAAAAATGTAAAACGAAAAAAAAAAAAGGAATGCCAGGAATCACGAGTGTGGGCGCTGGTGCAGACTTGGTAGGATTGGGAAGTGAATGTGATTGGGGTGCAGGATGTAAAATTCCCAAATAGTCAATAAAAATATTATGTTGGGGGAAAGGAATACCACGAAATGAATGATCGAGGAAGAAAAAGAGTAAGCAACTCAAGTGACATAACAATGCTGTAAGAAGGATATGTACAGGGTACTACGGAAATAAAAAAGAAGCTTGCATGTCTTTATGGAGAAAGCGGAAGAGTTATCATGTATTTCGCCAGAAGATGGCAATTGAACTGAGTCTTGAAAAACAACTAGAAGTTTTCTAGAACAACAAGAATGAGAGAAATATATGGAAAATGACTACTTTGCTTGTAATCTTAGTCTATGTTTCCTGTTTTGTATGATAATTTTAAGCTCAATGGTGTCTAAGACAGGTCCTGAGTTAAGAGTTCTCTTTCCTGATAATACTCTAGATGATTCTGATTGACTCTGTTGTATCATATGTCCATCCCTAAAATAATCACAACCACTAGGCAGGTAGTGGGTTCTGATTGGCTGGCTCCTATCATGCTAGAAAGACAGGTAGTATGTTCTGATTGGTTAACTTGGTTCAGGATAGGCATGTAGTGTGCATTGATTGGCCACCTTGGGCCGTATTTGATAGGAAGACAGTATACTTTGGTTGACTAGCTCTGCACATGTTAGATATGTCTGTTCTGATTGGCAAGCTTGAGTCATAGTGCATGAACAGGTAATGAGTTTTGATTGGTTGAGCTGGGTCACAATTGGCAGTCAGGTACTAAGTACACTCTGATTGGCTAGCTCAGTTCATGATGGACAAAGAAGCATTAGACTCTGGTAACAGAGATTGGGTCATAATCGATAGGCATATAGTATATTCTTACTGGCTAATTCGTATCATACTAGAAAGGCGGGCAGTATACGCTGACTAGCCTGTAACATGATAGGCAGTGTTTTCTGCTTGGTTACCTTGGGTAATGAGAGAAAGGTAGTGTATTCTTATTGGCTAGTTCAGGTCATGTTTGACTAGCTGGAAGTATGTTTTGATTGGCTTGCTTAGGTAGTAACAAACAAGCTGGTAGTATATTTTGATTAGCTGTTTCTGAACATGTTTAACAGGCAAGAAGAATACTGCTTGGCTAGTTTGAGTCACAATATCCAGACACTGTAATAAGACTGGTTAGCTTGAGTCATGATGTGACAGCTCTAATTGTATGGTTTAGGTCATGTTTGACAAGGGGGTAGGTAATATACTACGATTGTTGTTTAGGTCACATTGGGTGGTAGTTGTTCTGGTTGGTTGGTTGGTTGGTTGGGATCATGTTTGAAAGGCAAGTAGTGTACTGTGAATCACTAATTTGAGTCATGTTGGACAGTTAGCTACTGAGTTCTAATTGCTGACTTGAGTCATGATGAACAAGCAGATGGTCTACACTGATTGACTAGTTGTTGGATAGGCAAAAAAAATGTACTCTAATAGGCTATTTCATGTCAGACAGTAACTGTGGATTGCTTAGCTTCAATCAACTGACAGGCAAAGAGTATACTGTGATTGATTAGCTAGGGTTAGGTAGTATGTTTTGATTGGTTACAACTTGAGACATGTTAAGCAAGTAAGGTACTCTGACTGGCTAGCTTGGGTCATAATGAAGAAGAACATATGTTGCAGTTGCAGTTGCCAGTTTAAGTCACACTGAATAAGCAGGTGCTATAACTTGGTTATGGTAGAGAGTCATGCACTACACTCTGATTGGCTATTGTGGGTAATGATGGACAGATGTCTTTTTTCTGATTGCCTTGAGTAGTATTTGATAGTCAGGTAAGTGTGTCCTGATGGGCTAGCTTGGATAATGGACAAGCAAGTAGTTTACCCTAAGAGAGAAGTTTTAGGTATGTGCTCATCCATATTTGTTAATTTATCAGAGTTCCTAGAGGTATGGAAGGACTTATGTACCTTACACCCTATAGAATAGGCATAATTAAAAGGTCAGGAGGTTCAAACGATGTGGACACATGCAACATGTCTGTTACATGTACACATGTGATTTAAAATTATTTACCTTACCTTACAAATCTATTATTACACACTAAAATTACAAAAAAGCACATATGAAAGCTAACTAGGATTAGAGGAAAAAGCAGCTACAGAAGAAAATTAC